TTCACACTAAAAAATATCTCGTGTAAAAAGGATTCTATAATATTTAAAAATGTTTTATATGAAGGAATATCTGTATGGACACGTGTTAAAAATTTAAAAAAATATTTTTTTAACACGTGTAAATTTGCAAATTGATAAAATAACTGTTATATTTTCTAAATAAAGCTTTATGAATCACAGTTCAGTATAAAAAAAGTTGTCAAAATGATTTTGGCCTTGTTCGCGGTCAAAGTCAATATCTTGATATATACCCACGCTAAATTTTAGGTGATTTTTATGGAATCATTCTTTTTTTATAGATACAATGTATAAAAGAAATATATTTATTAAAGTTGGAAATACTAAAAAATTATTTATGAATTCATATTTACAATTTAAGAAAAATTCTAAACCATTGAAGTTAAAAAAAAACGTTTTTAAATCACACCAGAGAAACTTACTTTTATAACTGTTTTAATATTTATAAAAAAAAATCTATGGTTTTTTATCAAAAATATTACACAAAATTATTTATTAATACACATTAGCAAACTTTAAATTAAATTGTAAGTAACAATCGATTTTACTATAGAGAACATGCAAGTTTAAAATAAATGTTTTTAATTGACTTTTGTTTTTTGTTTATATAAACATATTTTTGATATATATATATATTTATATATATATATATATATATATATATATATATATATATATACATACATACATACATAAAGAATATTCATATGATTGAAACATTTCAAATAATTCTATATATTTGTTTTTTTAATTTGTAAACAGCATGCTTTTAATTTCAAACATTGTATTATATAATAATGTATTAAAAAAGATATAAATTAACACTTTTCACATTTGCTTTGCAAATTTACACCCATTTTCATGGCTTTTGGTCTAAAAATATTAGTTTGTTGAAACTAAGAAATAATATTCGTAGAAAATAACTAGTGATTTTTTTCCTAATTTTGAAGGCACTCTTATTAGTTAACTCCCAGAAAAATGAAAATGTTTGTATATCTTTACGTTTCAAAGGTTCCTGAACATTTTGGCATACCTTAGAAAAAATTGATGTATGTGTGTGCGTGTTCGGATACAAATTTTCGTCGACGATTTCGAGAACACGGTTCAACCGATTTGAATGATTGAAAAAAACATTCGATTCCTATTGATTGAAGTAGACGTGCTGATTAGTTTTTGGACAAGGCAGGGCTAAAATGTTAAATCTTTTTTTAAATTTGCCTTAAGGCACGATGCCATATACAACTAATGTTTAAACCAATGAATAAAGTTTAGGAAGCAATTTTTATATGTGGATTATTACTAATATCGTCTCAGTCGTGATTTATAAACAAAGAATGCATATAAATAACCATAATAGTTATTTATTAATGCACCTCAGGTGATTAAATCGATCTCCATATTCAGATAAGTCAAATGACAAAGACTATTTCTTGTAATAATTAATCTTACAGTCATTTCTTTATTCTATAACGACCTCCATTTGTTAAATGGAGGTGTATGTGATATTAATTTAAAATAATAAAACTAGTCTATTTAATACAATAAGTCACATACTGTTTGAATAAATTATTTATATATAAATAATGCAAGATGTATATCCAAATATTTTATATCACTTTCAGAGTTAAATATTCTTCAAATTCACTTCTGGTGAAAAAAATGTTAAATGCAAATATTTTTAATAATTGTTTTAAACTTCTTTAAATTTTGTTCTGGTAAAAAGGGTTGAAGATTCAATAGTTTATACAATTATTATTCCAAATATTTTTTGCAAATTTACACCCATTTTCATGGCTTTTGGTCTAAAAATATTAATTTGTTGAAACCAAGAAATAATATTCGTAGAAAACAAAATAAAATGATTTTTTCCCCCTAATTTTGAAAGCACTCTTATTAGTTTATCAACTTCCAGAAAAGTGAAAATTTTTGTATATCTTCATGTTTCAGAGATTTCTGAACATTTTGGTATACCTTAAAGTCAACTGAAGTAAAAAATTGTGTTAAAATTTAAATTATTCGCATATAAAAATAAAAAGTGCACCATGCTTTCAAAAATATTGCTTGAATTATAATTGAAGTAAAATAATAATATTAAATGAAAGTGATAAATAATAATAGTAATACTCGTTTAATAACTTTCATGATTACATGGATATCCATTTATGTAAAAGATTTTATCTCAAGGATTTAATATTTGTGATTTTAGATTTTATTTTTCTATCTAATAATTATTTCGTGTTATGTAATAATTTGTTAAAGACATGTAATATTTTTATTTTAAGATAATTGATTAAAAATTCAATTTATGATAATCTTGCATGTTATTTATAAGCAAAAAAATTCCCAGTGCAATCGATTTTGGAAATTTGTCTACTTTTAAAATTTGGCTTATTTACTTTTTGATATCGTAAATAAATATGGATATATTTACATTTTTGTATATAAAGTTGAATGCATGTAAGGAATTAGGAAATTGAATATTTTTTAAAAAAAGTAACATTATTCAGATATTTTTCCATACAATTATTTTGTGTAGTAGATAAAAATTTATTAATTAAAAGAAGTTTAAGAAAATTGCTCTTCAGTTCCAATACAAAAATAAATTATATACACATAATTGTATATGGTGACCTTTATAAAATTAAATTTCTAAAATATATTGAAACATAATAACATAATGCTGAATTTCAATGCTTATAGTTGAAGATTATTTATTGAAAAATTAAATTTAAATTAAAATGTAAAAATTGTATTAAATAAATTAATTTCGATCCTCTTTTTTGGAAAAAAAGTTAAATTACGTGAATATTTCAAACTTTACTCTTAAGACTTTTGTTTAGTATTTATATTTTTTATATATTTATAGTCATATGTTGTTATTTTAATATTAATACAATATTTTTGTTTGATTATTCCTGATACGAACTGCCTTATGATGGCACTTATCAAGTGCCAAAACGCGTGAATATACGATTGTTTACATATATATATATATATATATATATATATATATATATATATATATATTTTATATATATATATAGATATCTGTATATATTTATATATTTCACGCCTTGGTGATTCCAAACAATAGGGCCAATTTCTCAATAACAGTAAACATATAAATTTACATTTATTTGTTTATACATCATAACAATAATAATTTTAATTCAACAAATCCAATCAACATCATATCAAGTTTACTAATTTATTTATCACGCTTGCTTAAAATCCTTGGCAATTATTTTCCACAGATTTTAATTAATAAATTACAAAATACAATTTTAACCTTATAAAAATAAATGTAAGTGTAAATAAGTTAGATTGTAAAGCAATTTTACTCTAAACTATCATTATTCAGAATTAATCTTTGGTCTTGTAACCATAGGTTTTATTAGGTTCAATTACCGCCTAGGACAACTTGATATCAAGCAGTAGTGTTTTTACGTCCTTAAGTTTTACTAGAGGATGTAGATCTAAATATGATACAAGTGAAAAATAGCTCTAAATGATAGTATAAATATATAGCCAGTACGCCATTACTTAAATTTTGTTGTTTGTAAAAAATTTCTCTTCTCCAATTTTATATTTAAAATTGTGTCCGCACTTCATAGGGGCGCCACCACCTGTAGCACGTAATTTCACCCTTAGGTTCAATTCTAGATGAAAATTTTATCAATAAATAATATGGAGAGATAATCCTCATTAATTTGAATAAATGAAATTAGAACAAAATATACGCGTATAAAATATATTTTCAACAGAATTCCGAAGTTTTTCCAAAAATAGATCAAAAGAATTAGTTTTTTAAAATGTAAACCCTCTGTTGAGTGCGGAAAATACTAAAACAGGGCTAAAATAAAATAAATATAAATATAAAACTAGTGAAGCGCATAGCATCGTGCCTTAAGGCAAATTGGCTGGAACTTCCAGTACCAAATTTTTTTTTAAAAAAAGATTAACATTTTTGAAAAAAAAAATACTTTGAGAAAGATTTTTGACTATAAAGTTTTGAGAAAAATTTACTTTTTTTTTTAAGAAAAATTTATTTTGAAATATTTTGGAAATTCTGAACTTTTTTTAAAAACAATCGTACTGCTTTATCTGCATAGAGACAAAATATTGAAGCGCGTAAGCGCTGCGTCGCCGTCTAACGGCTAAACATAGGAATGTAAACAAAATTTATACTTATTGTTAAAATCTCTATAAAATATCTGATAATTTGATGTGCACATGTCTAATGATCATTTTTGACCGCCAAATGGCATTTTTTTACTTTTTTTACTAGATCTCCGGAACCGCTAGACCTGCCTTCATGAAAATTTGAACAGTTTTTTATCTTGTTAATACAAGTAAAATGTGTTTTGAATTATTGAAATCGGAGGCTCCGTTTTCTTAAAAACTGAGTTACCGTCTTTGGCACTTCTTGCCCCATATCTTCGGAACAGCTAGACCTGCCTTCGCCGAAAACTAATCAGCACGTCTCCTTATCAATACGAATGGAATGTTTTTTGAATTATGCAAATTGCTTCACCCGTGTTCCCGAAATCGTCGACGAAAATTTGTATCCGCACATACACACACACACACACACATATATCCATTTTTTCTAAGGTATGCCAAAATGTTCCTAAACCTCTTAAACGTAAAGATATATAAAAAATTTCATTTTCGATTTTTTTGCGATTACTATAACTTGCCCTACGGGAAATAAATAATAGATACCGGAAAATTAAATTGTCTTATATTATAGAAAAAGTCATGCCTTAAGTTAAAGAAATATAAAAACCGGGAATTTCATAATTTCGACTAAAGTTTCAAAAGCGGTCATTTGATCGCTCTGGTAGGTTTAGTGTTAACTCACTCAGCTCACGGACATACTACCCATTATTATGATAATAACACAAAAAATAATACAATTGAAAACCCAACACATTTTTATATTAATTTTACAATTTCAGATTCAACTATAACCTCCAACAATGAACAACTCACTACCAAGCGACACCACTTCAGAATCACCTCACCACACCACCATAAACATAACCGAAAACCCAATAATCGACGCTACCGATGGCGATGACGCTACCACCATCTCGGCCAGGAGCATCGGCACCACCAGTGCGTCACCATCGGGGTCACCACTTCATACGGCGACCACGGCGGCGCCTGTCGCCAGGGCCAGGAGGAAATCGAGGACCAGCTTGACGGATAATCATAGTAATGTCGATGTTCATAGAGGGACTTCACCAGACAGACTGGTGAGATAATTGATAGATGAAACTTACACTTAGAACAAACCCATTGATTAGCATATTTTTGGATACAATAAATGTGTTATGTAATCAGCCTTTTATGATGACACAAGTTACATATATTTGCTATTATTTTGAACGGCTAAATGTTATCTCCATCAGGGGCGTAACTATCAGCCGTATCAAAAATACGGGACCCCCGAGCTAAGGAGGCCCCAACGAGCGCAAGCAGAAAGAAGAGTTTATTTTTACTGCAATATTTCTGCAAGCTCTAGCAAACAATTCAATTAGTAAAGCTTTTCCACATTCGATAAGCTAACAAATCTATAAAACTAATTCAGATTATACATTATATTCATCAAAAATTGGAATTTGGAATTTTTATATTTATATTTATATCGTTTTTTGTTTGTTGTTGTTACTACTTGAATTGTCTGCATGACGCGTAAGTTCAATAGTGAGATTTTGATAAAAATGATCGACTAAATCATTTTCAGATTTTTTTCTTCACTGTTTAAAAATATAAGTTTCTGTTCTTAAACTTCACAACACGCCAGTAATAACTTATATAAAACTAGTATTTTATTAAGTAATCTTTTGAATAGACTGTACGAATTACCATAAGAAAATTTATTGAAATAGTTTGTTGAAGAAGTACAAATATTTTGCAAAAAAGCTGGATTGCAATAACTATTTTAAAGAACAAAATACATAAGATAATGAAGCGTTATTATCACAAGATGAGATAATTTTAGTCCCGAAATTTTATTTTAATGTATACTATTGCTATTTGGATATATTAATTTCACAAACCAAACAAAGATTTCAAAACCTTTGCGACGTAAGTAGTAACAGTCTTTTTGAAATCGAGAATTAATAAACGTTTCCGGAAACTGTCGACTGAATTACTGTAAAGAAATATTGTAAAATATCTTATATGATCATGACCAATTGATAGTTCTAGAAATAGGTTTGAATACAGAAATCTAAGAAATTTATCTCATTAAGATATAAGGATGGATGCAATAGGCTTGCATCCAGTTTGCCCAACAAAATAACAGTATGCATTTTTTCTTGGCCCTTAATTACAATTTACAGTTAAAATCACAACTGATAATTTTTTTTTAAATTAAAACTAATTAAAAATTACGTAAATACTTTAGGACATAAATGTCTACCAGATCTGTATGTCTACCAGACTAAATAAGTCAGTTTTTCAAAAAAAGGTAAGGCGAGTGAAAATATATCTGGAATCATTTATGAAAAAATCAGAAAATTATAAAAAATTATATAGATAAATAATTAGAATGATAAATAAATATTCTTTTAAACTTGTGTATTTCTATATTTTGTAAAAAAAAAAAAAATTCTTGAGGGGGCCCCTAAACAAATTTTGATACGGGGTCCCGCCAAAGCACGCTACGCCCCTGATCTCCATGTTGGCATATCACCGAGAATATCTATTATTCTTGTAATATTTTATTGATGATTTTACCTTTTTAGCTTAGGAGATCTAGGAGGGCCTCATTCGACATGGACTCTCTTCACTTACAACCTTTACGAGAAACCGACATCGAAAATAAAGAGCCAATACCTCCACTTGCTGGTAACTACATATTTTTATCACCATTTTTTATTTTTATACAAATTTTATGGCAATGTTTCTTTTTCACGCTTTCTACTTCTGTGGCTTTGCACGGCACTTATCAATAAACCAATAATTTATTTGGTTTTGGCTGCTGTATAAATGCAACTGTCTTTCTGGTAAATTGAGATAAATATTATTCATCATCAATATCCAGACATATACATACTAATACCATCATCTCAGTCCTAGTAATAAAATAGTTAACAAAACTTAGTTAAACAAATTAATTTTAAATGTCTGCGAGAATCTGATACTAAACCAACTGGTAATTGGTAATGTGTCTATAATTTTAGATTGTGACTTTCCAAATAACTAACTTTTTTTCATAGTACTTGTCTATATCCAAGCTTATTTTCCCTAATTCATACCTTGATATTTTGAAGATCCATATCCAAGCTAGTTTTTCTCCAATTTTTCTAGTTTTATGAGATTATTCTAGGTTTGATTATATTTCTGCTCCTAATTGCAGCAAGGTTTTTTCCATCCCTTGATTTTAAACTATTTTAGAACCACTTGGCGAACCCAACTACTTGGGTTTTCTCTAACATCTTTAAGTTTTCGGTATGTTCCTAGATTAAATAATCTTGTCAATAATTGTTGTAATGTTTACCATCCTGAAGGATGAACTCAGGAAAGTGAAATTTAACGTCATGCTCTAATTTTACTTTTTAACAACCTTGTTCATTCGTAACAAACAGTCTATAACTAATATATTTTTAACTTCCCGAAGAAGTTTGTTTTTATCAAAAAATTCGATTCGCTAATTTTATGTTTTCTCGACGTTTCAAGCCGTTCTGAATGGAATGAGACCAAATTTGGAAAAAATATGTATGTGTGTGTGTGTGCATGTATGTGAACAGATTTTTTCCTAGATATAGACGTTTTCTCAAAAACGGTTGGACCGATTTCAAAAATTTGAAAGCCATTCGAGGACTATGGTTTGTCAGTTTTATGAGACGATCTGCCAAGCCGTTCCTTTAAAATTTATAACTTGAAAAAAAAGTGTTAAACTTTCCGACCACATTCAAGCTCATCCTACCGAATCGATTTCAAAAACTGTTTGAAAGATATTAGTAAAAACCGAAAAATCAAAAACTGTTTGAAAGATATTAGTTGGAAATGATACTGATTAGTTTTAGGTGAAAATCAACCAAGCCGTTTTCTTGTAAAGAAAACAAGTTTAAGCCGATTTTTATGGAACTTTATTTGGCGATATATTTGGTCTTATAGAACTTACTGAAATAATACGGCCTTACAAGTAGTTTAATTTGAAAAAATGAGTAGTTTGAAAAAGTTTGAGAAAATGTGTAGTTTTTTTTTGACGTTTGTTAAAAATTAAAATTAGACGATTTACTTGGTATAACGATAGAGTACTTGGTTTTAATAAACATACTAAACTAAACCATTAGTATGTCCTACGAAAACTGGTTCAATTATAAAAATTATTGTTTTTTGAAAATTTGCTTTTAAAAAATACTCCGACCGGGTTTAACAACTCATAAAATTAATTTATCTATCATGGATCAAGTCGTTTATTCACACATATCGAAAAGTTCATGTAACTTGCACCAAAGCAAAATATCAATACCAACTAGTTTATATTTCACAAACAATACATCTACAAAAAAAAAATAAGATAATTTTTGAAAATCTAGCAATTAGAAATCTGATGGTTTCAATTTTAATCATCTTTAATTTCAATTACCTTTTGACAAAATTTTTGGAAACTACCGTTGAAATTTTCTTCATTTAAATAAGCTGAACTAACCAAGAAACCACTTGGTTCCTCAATGGCTCTTTTTGCAACAAATTTTTCTATTCAAACAAGTGAAAAATGCACCATTTTTCTCTGATTCAATTTTATCTTCCTATTTATGACTAAGATTTTGCTGAACCTTCTGAAATTTAAGACAGTAAAATAACAAGTATCATTCCTAATTTTTTTGTTCATTCAAATAACCTGGACTAAACCAAATTACTTCCTTATTGTTCATTCTCGATTCTGACTTACAAGTTTTTATTAATCAGTTTATTTTCCAGATCAAATCTGATTCCAATAGTAGCAATGACCATATTCTCTCTATTTGAGTAACCTTAACTTTGAGTAACTAATCAATAAACCACGACTCTTCGTCTGTTTTTCCTACTAACAGTTATTGAATTCTTGAAAACAATTTTCCAATTCTATATTATCTACTTAGGATCTCACAGTTTCACTTAAGGTCTTGAAAATTGTGATACTGACAGAATTTTCTTCATTTAAATAACCAGTACTAATTGTCAACTTGTTGGTTGTTAATTCACTCTTCTTACTAACAATTCTCCATTTCTTTCCACTTTAATCTGATTTTCAAACTCCTGAAATTTGGGATACTGACAAATCAGGTGGTTCCGATTCTGCACCAGCTTTGCCTCAACCAGAAGTCTTTACCAGGACAAATGGTTAGGAGGACAAACCTGGTTTAGATAACGAACATGAAACGCTGACAAAAAATTCATAATTTCTTCAGTCAATTAACCTAAACTAACCACAAACTAACATCTCTGGTCTGGACTAACATTTCACTGCATTTGATTTCCAATCTATGACCTCATGATTTCCCTCAAGGTCCTGAAATTTGGGACACTGACAAATCAGATGGTTCCGATTCTGCACCAGCTTTGCCTCAACCAGGAGTCGACGATGGTTTCTTTACCAGGACAAATGGTGAGGAGGACGAACCTGGTATAGATGACGGATTGCTACCGCCGAAACCGAAAGACAAAGACGAGCATGATGGTATTTGTTTTGGACAAGATCAGCTTTTTTAGTAGAAATTTAGTAGAAATTTAATTGTAGTTATGTGCATGGTAATAGATTTTATAAGAACTTTGGCTTTAAAGATTAATATGCAGAACAAAGTCTAATTTTGAGTCATTTTTAAGAATTGATCACCTGATCATTTTGCTATTGGATTGCACAATTACATTATATTAGGATGTCAAATATCTCCCTTCCGCCTTTTTGTATTATAAACCAAGAGCAAAAAACGGAAGGGAGATATTTGACAACCTAATATTCTATTCAATCCACAAACGCCTAAATAAATTCTTGCATGTATCCAAAAACTGTAACAAATCAAATTTATATATTGCACCATCAAACCCGACAAACTCCGTTTCGCCACCAGATGGTTTCGTGAGAAAGATGAAGAAATTTTTTGTTTGTTTTATATTCGAACAGGAAAATTTTGATTTTATTATACAACAGTAATGAATTTATTTCGATTACAAAAATGAAGTGTTTTTTAGTTGAACTTCTCTAAGTAAATAAAAGAGAATCCGCAAATTATCCGTTTCATTGAAGTGCTCTTTGGTAAACCACATTTTTTGTTTTTTGGTCTGACGTTAACACAAACAAAGCGTATGGTTTTCCAACTCGTGAACAGGCAACGTATAACTGCCTACGTGAAAAACAATGAGTTTCTAAATAATCTATTTGAAATTTATCCCGCAAACACTAAGCGATTGGCCTTGCGACTTGTTATTGCGAACGCAAGGCGAACTGGAAATTGCAATCGTTTGAAGTCAAACGGAAGACCAGTCGGAATCATTGGTATGTCACCAAATCTCCAGCAATTTTTGATTGAATGGTGAAATTCAGTGCGTGTACATCATTATTCTTCGCGGCAATATTTGCTCGTTGACTTAACCAAGCATAATTTTGATAATTCTCACTAATGTCATTACTCGAATTTTTAATTACGGTGCGTGAAGTTCCAGCAGCTTGCATTAAGGCACGATGCCACGCACAACTAATTTTCTTAGCTGTAAACCTTGCGGAGCCCGAGACCTTTCCAACGAATGCAAAATTGTCGAAATCGGTTTGTGCGATCTGGAGTTATATCGTCCGGAAGGAAAAATCGACTTATTTTTATATATATATAGAAGATAACTTTATTTTTTATAAATCTAACAACTGGTGATGGCAAATTAACAATTGTATTTATCATTTATAAATATAATAACAGGAAGGGCTTTCTCAGATGACGACAAACACCACTACGACCCTGCTCATCATCATCACAATGGTGTTGGCTCCAGAAGAGGAAGTTTTCCACCTTTTCCATATGCACCAGATTTTACACCAATGACGGTAAATACTAAATGATATCACCATTATTATTATTTCCATAATTTTCAACTTCCCAAAGGAGAAGTTTATGTTTTTATCAAAAAATCCGATTCACTAATTTTATGTTTTCTCGACGTTTCAAGCCATTCTGAATCGAATGAGACCAAATTTGGAAAAGTATGTGTGTGGTGTGCGTGTATGTGAACAGATTTTTTGCCGTAAATCGACGTTTTCTCCAAAACGGAAGAACCGATGTCGAAAATTTAAAAGCCGATCGATGTATCTCGACTATCGGCGGGCCGTTTTTTTTGTACATCGCAGAAAAGTGAAAAAAATTTCGTCTACGTTTTAGCCCGCAATTCTGAATCGATTTTGAAAATTCGAAACCGTTCGAAAGATATTGGTTGAGAATCGTGCTGATTAGTTTTTGGTAAAGATCGGCCGGGCCGTTTTCTTGTAATAAAGTTTAATAAAAACAATTCGGCGATTTATATGATTTTTTTACGGTAGATACCATAGGCTTGTAGATCAGACTAAAATATTACGGCTCTACGACAAGTCGTTTAATTTTGAAAATTCTTCAAAGTTTGCAAAAATTAGTATCGTTTTTTTGGCATTTGTTAAAATTAGACCTTTGATGAAGGTTTCTCAAAAACGCCTGAATCTATTTCAGAAATTTATAAGCTATTCTATGTATCTCAATGAGGACTATAGTTTGTCAGTTTTTTGTGAGACGATTCTCCCGAGCCGTTTTCTTTGTAATTTGAACAGAAAAAGTTAAACTTTTCGTCCACATTCAACCTCAAACTACCGAAGCGATTTTAAAAATCAAAAACTGTTCGAAAGATATTAGTTGGAATGATACTGATTAGTTTTAGGTGAAAACCGAGTCGTTTTCTTATAATTAACTGTCGAAAAAAAAAATTTAAGCCGATTTCATGGAACTTTTTTTTGCGATATATATCATGGTCTTATAGAACTTACTGAAATATTACGGCCTCACGACAAGTAGTTTAACTTTAAAAATCATCAAAGTTGAGAAAATGAGTAGTTTTTTTGACGTTTGTTAAAATTAAAATTAGACGATTTACTTGGTATAACGAGAGAGTATTTGGTCTTAATGAACATACTAAACCAGTTTAAAGTCCTACGGAAAATGGTTCAATTATAAAAATTTTTGTTTTTGAAAATTTGCTGTTTTAGAAAATACTCGAGTTGACGTGTTCGAAATACTTTTAATCACTCATAAATGCATTTATTTTTACTAATTAAGTCGATTATTAAACATATCGGGAAGTTCATGTAACTTGCCTCAAGGCAAAAATACCAACACCATATTATATTTTTTCATTATTTAGCCTGATGGAGATCCAAGAGTGATC